TCGCATCCATGTTTGTGGACTGGTCCCCTGTTCGTGGACGGATGCGGAAGATTTTTTACTGGTTGCCGTTGGAGATGCATTTACTCACGTTATGAGTAACATTATATATATCAAGGCAAGATATGTCTACAAACTAATAAATGAAATGTTGCATGACATCATATGTATATACCTTACTCGCTATAGAGATAGTCAGTCCTATTGACTAGAAGGAATCGTGATGAGAAAGAGAGTTGAGGTCGGCAAAAACTTGCAACGGCTCGGTTCCACGCACTGATACACATGGCCAAATTTGGGATCGCGTGAAACTGGTCTGCCTCGTGACAGCTCATTAGCGTACGATTTCTGCAATGCTTTTCGTGGTACTGGGTCACACATATCGTACAGTTCAAGTATTTTCGCACCTCGCTCTGCTGCTTTTGTTGTGAAGAGGGAGTAATCAGCAGAGCGACGAGGCGATGAATCGATTCCTCACCACAAGATGCAGCAAAATTGAATCGATTCCATTCCTCGGGAATGGGGCGCAATCAGAATATGCCTTCCTCTCGTTTGCCCGTGCCTTTTCCTCCCGTTAAAGCGACTCGATCGTACTCGTCTAGAATACTAGTTTAAACGCCTTTATATTAGTTTACACAGGGAGTACCACATATCTTGCAGCGGTCCATCGTGCCAACTTTGCCGATAGAAACTACTACCAGTGATATGCGACGGGTGTCTTCACAAGAGTGAGTGGTCAGCGTCTATACCGTACACTGGAAAGGACTTAGGCACAAACTTTGGCACGCGTCCCCGTCACTACGCGTCGTTGTTACTTACCAGTGTGATCAAGCATTAACTAGCGTGGTTAGGTGCAGGAACGATCTCGCTGACTTCCTCCAAATGGCGCGTGGAAAACCAACTCGTGTGCGCCCAGCTAGCACGGCCACCTCGCCGCCGGTTCGTGTAGGAGTTCCGTTCATACTTGAGTACCCCTATATACTTGGACCGTATCCGTTCCGGGACCGTGAGCGACCGGGTCCAGGAATTAGGCAGGCAATCACTCCGCTGCCGCCGCTGAAGACGTCGACGGCGGCCGTTTCCACGATCCGTCGCACCGCGCGTGCAGTCGGCAGTAGCCACTTCTCTAGGTTACGAAAGTTTTACTAGCAACTAAATAATTGCTGGTAATGGAGCTGGGCTGGGTTGTAGTCTTGTAGAGTCGGTGTTCATGCGCTGCCGCCAAATTTAAGGTCGTCGTTGCCAGCTGCGGGTTCGTTTCAACCCAACCTCTCACCGAACACGCTTCGCAGATCTTGTATTGGTACCGGATGGGCTGTGTCGCTATGGCTTACAGTACGACCAATGTTGTTAGAGTAGTTGCTATAGCTCTGTAATTAGGATGTTGCAAGGTAGTTTATTCCAAAGGAAAAAAGGATGTTGCAAGGTAGAGTAGTTAGTGGTTGACTCTCTCGATGCATATCATCAGGGGCTTAGTTCTCTAAGGCTTTGTTCGGTTACACTTCCTCATAGGTGGATTGGAGTGGATTAAAGGAGGTTTTGGCTTATAAAGGATGTAATCCCTGCCAATCCCTGCCAAACCTCTTCATTTTCCCTGTCAACTGAACAGGCCCTAAAGCATATCACCGAGAGCTGACTATTCAACATTCTTGCGATGCATTTCTCTAAGGCTGGCCATAGTGGGAGTAACATCATATTTTTCAAGATAATTTTGCTTATGTGGCACATATTTAATGACGAGAAAGGTGATGGTGGTAACTTAGCTAGTTACTGTAATATCACACATACCAAGACAATATGAGTCTATAGGCTAATAAATGAGCCATAACATGACAACACGCATATGTTACTACACACTATGAAGATAGTAACATAGCCTAGTAAAATACTCCCTCCGTCCTTCAAAGAGTGTACTTTCAACTTTGTTGGAGGGTCAAACTATCTCAATGTTTGACCGAGTTTGTGCAAAAATATATCAATGTTTATGAAACCAAATAGGTATATAATGAAAAAATATTTTATCATGAATCTAACGCTACTAATTTGATGGCATAAATGTTGATGCATTATTGTATAAATACGGTCAAACATAAAAAAGTTTGACTTTTCAACAAAGTTGGAAGTACACTCTTCAAAGGACGGAGGGAGTATGATGTTACTAGTCTAAGTTACTCTCCATTATGACTAGTCTAAGGCTAGTTATAGTGGAAGTAACTTAGCTAGTAACATAACACACTTCAAGAAATTTTTACTTATGTGACAAGTAATTAATGAAAAGTGGTAACATAATATGTTACTGTAACATAGCGTTTTTCAAGACAAGATGAGTCTACAGGCTAATAAATAAAGCCATCTAATATACTACTATTATGTTACTTTGCATTATAAAGGTAGTAACTTGGGCTAGTGTCATATGCATGACACTAGTCTAAGTTACTCTCCATTATGACCAGCCAACTTTACATGAGGAATTAGCATTGAACAAACCAACCTAGGAAGACAACTAGGCAGACTCTTGGACTTCTATTTCTATATCGAAAAGAAAAACAATCTCTACTACTTAAAAAATAAGTGGTGTTCTTTTTTCTATCAAGGAGAACTGTTCGTCAACCGGTTTCCCTCATGCCACCATGTCCCTTTATCGATTTTTTCCATCTAGCCGTTTTTTTTCACCACGCCATTTTTTTGCGAATATTCACCGTGCCATATTTGACCGCATCTTCACTTATGATAATCAACCACCTTAATTTACTTACGAAACTTCTCGTCAAATTATAAGGTAAATTAGTTACATAATTTGGTAAGCATTTATTTACAGAATCACATTTTTTTACATAGTATTTATACCCCATAGCAACGCACATGCATTGTTCTAGTCTCCTAAAAAGTTACTTATATTTCTTGCAGTAAAGTCTCAGAAGAACTTGTTTTATATGTTCTTTCTCCTCTCTCCTCCACATCATGGATTTTTCCTTCGCGATGAACACCCTAAAAGAACAAACTAGGTGACAAGCACATTGTGTCATTGCTATTACAAACAATATAAACATCATAAAGATTTGATAAAAACATCATGAATAACAAGACACTACTAGAATAAGATTTATGAGTTTAGAGAAAATTATGAAAAATAAATCAAGTAAAATGAACACATGTTACAATTATTACGTAAAGTAATTTTTTTAAGTTATGATAAGTATGGACCACAAATGATTTTATTACTTTACCAAATTTCACACATGCACATTCCTATCCATATTCTACATCTATGGTTTTTAGCCACAATTATTTTTTAGAAAAATCTTATAGATACAACTCTTTGCTAAGTATTATATGTCATCACCATATGGTCTGATGCTATTTTTTGGTAGTGCAACCTGTATCACAAACATTTGGTCATCCCGCATACATGTACACAACTTGTAGCATTGGCCGTGATATGTTATCGCACTTAATTACATCATCTCCTACCTCTGTATGGGTTTTCGAATGGCATTTTTTCAAACCCGTAGGTAACCACAATTATGATTCCTTATGATTTGTCTTCCAATATATTTTGTCGCGATCACAGCTCATTTACATCTCATCGACCCATTATCATCTATTTTCGCATAGTGTAATGTCATTTGTTGTACTTTTTAGCTCAGAAGAACTTTCAAAAAAAAAAATTTAACATGTATCATGAATTTAGGGAAGAGTTAAATGTGGATTGGTATTTTAAATTACATGATACAATACTAAATTACGATCCTATACTTTCTTGAACGTGCTAGAGCAACCCATATCGGTATGGTTTGTAAATGACACGTTCCCAAACCCGCAGGTTGCGACAATTATGACCCCTTATGCCTTATCTTCCAATCCAATTTGTCGCGGAGAGTTGACGTGCCTTAAACTCAACTCGGCAACAGATCACAGCTCATTCACATCTCATTGATCCAATGTCAGCAATTTTGGGCATAGCGTCAATGCCATTTGTTTGCAAATGGCGTGTTCCCAAACCCGCAAGTTGCGACAATGGTGACCCCTTATGCCTTTTGTCGCGGGGAGGTGACGTGTCTTAAACTCAACTCGGTGACAGATCACAGCTCATTTATATCTCATCGACCGGATGTCAGTAATTTTGGGCATAGCCTCAATACCATTTGTTGCGGTTAGTAGCTAAAAAGCATGTGTAGACATTTTTTATCTGACTTGCCATGTATCGGAAAATTAAGAAATGATTAAACATGAATTGGTATTTTAAATGACCTTAATAGCACTCTAATGCTATGGTAAGTTATGATGACATGAAATTAGAGCATGCTTGGATACGTTTTAGTCCCATGACTAAAAGTAGTGAGACTAAAACTTGCTAGTCTCACCCATGTTTGGATCCAAATACTAAAGAGACTAAAATCTAGTTATTGAGCATTTATTATCCTCCAAACCCTCCAATCCAGAACTAAGGAGAGGAATTAAATGAGGAGAGAGAGAGCTAATACATATTTTAGTAGGTTTCCCATGACTAAAAGATTTTAGCCTCAAGACTAGTCCTAGCCTCTCTTTAGTCAGGGGTGCTTGGAACTTTAGCCTCTAAAAGAGACTATTTTTAGTCAGACTAAAAATAGTCCCTTGTATCCAAGCACCCTCTTAGTATCATTCTTTTCCTCATTTAATACTGCAACATATCAGCAATATGCATAGTAATTAACATTGCACAAGACTACTGTACACGAATAAATATGAATATGAGTAATTATATTATAATATTATAATACTAAACGAAGCAAATTTAGCTCGGGAAAAGAGAAAACCAGTCGCCCGCCCCCGTCCGTTCTCGCTGCATCCACCGACAGAGGGAGCCGTCTCCTCCCAATTCCCATAAACACAAGCTCATACGCCTCCGCTCCGAGCCCAAACCCACCACCAATTCAACCGCGACCCAACCCCACCCCGTCATTCTCACCACCGGCGCCTCCCCCGTCCTCAGATCCGCGCGCGCCCGCGCGCGACCAGCCGCGATGACGGCCAAGGGCGGCGCGTCGCCGGCGCCGGGCGGCGCGGGGGCTGCGGCCAACGGGCGCTTCTTCACGGTGGGGCTCGTCACCGCCTGGTACTCCTCCAACATCGGCGTGCTCCTGCTCAACAAGTACCTCCTCAGCAACTACGGCTTCAAGTACCCCATCTTCCTCACCATGTGCCACATGTCCGCCTGCGCGCTCTTCTCCTACGCCGCCATCGCCTGGCTCCGGATCGTGCCCATGCAGCTCGTGCGCTCGCGCGTCCAGCTCGCCAAGATCTCCGCGCTCAGCCTCGTCTTCTGCGGCTCCGTCGTCTCCGGCAACGTCTCGCTCCGCTACCTGCCCGTCTCCTTCAATCAGGCTGTCGGTGCCACCACCCCTTTCTTCACCGCCGTGTTCGCCTACATCATGACCGTCAAGCGGGAGTCGTGGATCACGTACCTCACTCTCGTCCCCGTCGTCACCGGCGTCGTCATCGCCAGCGGCGTAAGTTATATTATCTGCTCCCTCCCCGTCCCTCGTTTTCGGTAGATCTGTTGGTGTCGGGGTTGGATCTGAGGGGAATTCGGGTTTCGCTAGCTCGGGATTCCGGAGCAGCGAGACTGAGATCTAGCTGATGGGGAGAGGAGGATCTGCCACAATAGTCTCTAATTACTTGGACTAAAATGGTAGGCAACTCTCTCGAGTTGATTGAGCGTGCTGTCTGATACGTCGACCACTTTCTCCCCTAGGGAGAACTTTAGGGATGTTGAGTTGGGGTGGGCAATAGTTTGCCTCATGTCCAGGCATCCTAATCCTTTAACAGCCATTTAGTTGTCTGGAGAGTAATCCGGTTGACTGATTGTTTGCATGATCATATCGTCATTGGGGGGATTAGTTCGGGTTCCTGAGAAAATAAAAGGGAGTACCTAGAACTCATCTAAATGGGATATAATTTGGTCTCATTCACCTGGAAATCAAGAACAAAAACAACCCACGTCAGCACACACGCATCTTATAGCATCACATCCAATGGCTATGAAAGGTGAATGAGACCAAATTATATCTCATCTGGATGAGTTCTAGCAAAACTGAAAATAAAATTGTTATGCCATAAAAATCCACAGTGAAAATTTTAGTTTCCAAGTTGACCTTTACAGGAAAAACCCACATTTATTTATATCTCAATTTTATTGGTTTTTTCAGTATGTATATTATAAGATTGGAGATGGAAAAACCCTTTTGTTTTAAATCTCAAGAAATTACTTGTGGATGCTGATGTATATAGCTTGAATACTCTTGAAAAGGAAGATTTTATATTTGTCCCTTAGACCTTTGGTTTTGAATCACAAGAAATTACTTATGAAATTAAGTTGATCCGCTTGCGATGGGTGCTGGGTTATGTAGCTGTCGTAATTCCCAGTGTAACATACTGGGTCAGCAAATTGTGGGATGATGGTAGCAGCACTACATTTAGTAGATTATGACTTGCATGCATCTTCTGTAGTTAGTGAACTGTTGCTATTCTTGCAGTCTATGGGAGAGCTAGATTTGCATGTTTTTCATCAACTAACTATTAAGGCGCAAACCAAATTTACAGGGCGAGCCTAGCTTTCATCTGTTTGGATTCATCATGTGCATTGGAGCCACTGCCGCAAGGGCGTTGAAGACCGTGTTGCAAGGAATTCTTCTGTCTTCTGAGGGGTAATCAGTTTTTCTCTGCATTTGTGTGGGTGACACATTATGAATGGATGCTCTATACTATTCATGAGCAAAATATATAGACAAAAAATAGGAAGCTTCTAGGATTTGTATTTCTAGGTATATTCTGGGTGTTGTATGTCTACTTCTAGGCTTTGTGTATTTAGGTATATCTTGACTCTTCCTTCTGAAAAAAGGTATATCTTGACTCTTGATTATTCTGCCATCTTGCAGGGAGAAGCTTAATTCTATGAACCTGCTCTTGTACATGGCTCCGATTGCTGTCATTCTCTTGCTTCCTGCTACCCTCTTTATGGAGGATAATGTTGTTGGCGTTACAATAGAACTGGCCAAGAAGGATTTCACCATTGTTTGGTTGCTGTTGTTCAACTCTTGCTTGTCATATTTTGTCAATTTGACCAATTTCTTGGTGACCAAACATACTAGCGCATTGACTCTACAGGTACGTCATGTTTTCTCACTGTTAATTAAATTCATTCTTGTGCATAAGTTACTTAAGTTACTGGAGCATAGCTTAGCATGTTGCACAAGAAGTTATTTTATATGTGGCCTTTCATGCCAAAATCTCTTCCATTAACCTACCACATTGTAGATTTGATTTTGAAATGTAGTAAAATGATCTCTAATCATCAGTTCATGGCCCTGTATATAATTCACATCCACAGCAGAGTATGGCTTTTAATTAATGTAACTATTCTATAAAGTTGATACATGGGTCCCTGCTCTTGTACATGGCTCCCTTCGTCCAAAATAAGTGTCTCAACGTTAATATAACTTTGTGTTAAAGTTAGTATAAAGTTGAGACACTTATTTTGAGACGGAGGGAGTACATTTTGAGGTAACATAGAGAATAGGATCAAAAAATTTGTTCCAAATATGGATGTAGATGGCTACTTATTTTTCAGTTGTGTTAACCGCAGTCAGTTGCTGAGCTTGCAAATATGCTAACTGCCACTATCTCGTTTTACTAGAAATGCTTATCATAATTCATTTTTTGTTCATAATTCCTGTGGAGCACACAGCTTCAGGTTTTGTTTGAATCATTTTGTTATGTGGGCTTGTTGACACGATTGTTTTTAATGGTAATAACAATACAGTATGAATCTGCCTGTGTTAAAAGTCTTGGCATGTGTGCCAAGTCAGCCCATAACTAAATGCAGCATGCCTGTGTGAGTACATCTGAAGCATTTTATAGATCTGTCTTCAAACTATGGGGGTGTTATGGTTGGGCTACTGACCCATGTACCAAAACTCTAGAAATATCCATGGTCCAGAATGTTTTGGGATTTACCTTACCATTCTAGTGAACTGCTATTATTGTAGCTGTGGAATTCGTATTGGCTCTATGATTATGAAAATGTTTAGTAAATATACATATTTGTCTGCATCTGTTGAGTAAATATCTCAGAACTATTCTATTTGACCATAATGCATAGCATTAGGTGAACTATGTGTTTGAGTTTTGCTGACGAGGCTGTCTTAGTTCGTAAAACCAGCAGATAAGTCCTTGTTTCAGCAAATGAGCGGCTCGACGATTTAACATATTAATGTTTCTTTCCAGGTCCTTGGAAATGCAAAAGGTGCTGTGGCAGTTGTCGTCTCAATTCTGATATTCAAGAATCCTGTGTCTGTAACCGGAATGCTTGGTTACACCCTCACAGTTATAGGCGTCATTCTTTACAGTGAATCCAAAAAGCGTAGCAAACCCTAAGTTCCCCAGAAAACCGTACATATGGCCGTCCTTTCTCAGTCCGGTCGGTGCCCAGAGCTAATATATGACGGGGAACTACATCCGGGGCGATTGCAACAGATTCTGTGCTGTATGTAGGCCGGATAACAAGGACAGAGAAGTCCAATAATACCTGTAGTTTTCCCTTGGATCGCAGAGGCACTTTGTTTTGCTAATGGAAATGATCAATAGAATACAATTTTTTGTGTTTTTGTGAGCTGTGGCTCACACTGCCAGCATTGGTTGATGCGCTTAGTTTTCGGAAATTGTTTTCCGTTATTCATCAGTTATTGTAAGTTCATGACTCCAGTTCTCTTCTTTTGAAGATTGCATGTACCAAACTTTGCCAAAGAACCTCCTAATATATTATGACACTGAATTTGTTGACACTGTTCTTTTTTGAAATTAGTCACAGTTAACTGTTGGTGATTGTTTTTTTTTCTATTATAGAGTATTTTTCTCTGAGGGAGCTCATCAAATGATTTTTGGTGCAAATCTAGCGTCGGATAATTAATGTTCTTGCCTGTTGAAGCTTTGTAAGGGCAAATCTTTAAGCCTGATGCTGTGTTGCCTGGTGAACAATGTGTCATCTCTCGGATGTTTTATTCTGGTGAATTCTGTCATGTGTATGAACTTCGCCATGTATATGACTCAGGTATTCATCTCTTGATTTATCTGTAGACAAATTTGAAGCTAAAACTTTCTCCGCAACACACTTCCATGGAGGGTTGTGTGAGAATATCGTGGTGCATGACAAATTGCACAACTGCAGGGAAGCAGAGCTCAGGTCGATATCAAGTTTTTTTATCACACATTGCATAAGCCAATTCTAAAATCCCATTGCATGCCTAAATACAGGGGAATAGAATGTTCATGCATGTTGAAAATATGCCAAATTCCCCCCAACTATACGGCTAGATACACTAATATGTGCTTAAGTATTCTTATTTGACAACGGTAGAGTTGATCTGATTGAACGCTGCTACACACACGACACGGTCTGGACTATTTTTGAAGCGATAGCACCATTGAAACCTCCATCGTGTGGAGTTTGGCCAGCAAATGTCGCTCGTGTAGTTTTTTTCTTTCTGAAATTGGGCAAAAGATTTGCCACTTTCATCGATTAAGAAGAAGGGTCAGAGGTTTTTTTGGCAAATAGCCGAATTACAACACATTACTCTCGCGACACTACATTACTCATATATCTTGCCCCAGCACACCATAGCTTGGATACATCTTTGATTGTAGCAACAAAAACCCCTACCGACACCATAGTGTTACGGTACACGTGCGCATTTCTCTCGCTCCAAATTTCTCACGAGATAAATCGTGAGAGCCGGTTTGGGAGCCGATTTCTTTGTGATACAAATCTGGTATCCTGTGTTTTTTTACGCGTGAGGGCCAGTAATGACGCTCACATTAACATGGTCTTGCATTACCGACAATCTGTGATTGTTTTTTTGGTCACCAGCAGGTTTTTTCTCCCTCAGAGGATCTCTCTCAAAGTTCTGTTTTCAAAGTGGAGACACAGCTTGAACAGCAGCATACAGGCAGTTTAACAGTGTGATGCTAAAGTTCACCAACTCAGCGAGCTCAGACACACACCACTGCGAGCTCAAGAGAATGACCGAGGATTACGAGGATTTTATTCAGGTTCACTGCCCCTTGCAGCGATGGGACTACAGACAACTTGGTAAAAGGGTTTACCACTGAAAATACGTTGGTAAACGAGAGAGGCGGAATGAATCTTTGTTACAGACTTTGCTGGGCCGTGCGCCCACCCCATGGGCGCACGGAGTTAGAGGGAATTGAACGAATTGAACGTGGACGAGCGCTTCTTCTTCTTCTTCTTGTGCAGCAGCTTGTTATAATCAGACAGATCTCGATCGGGCGAGCACCTCTGGCCTCCTTCTAATTCCTCGCACCGTCACCGTGCCTTCAGCTGCACCCAGCCACCTGCTCCACTGCGCACACGTACGCACAGTGCAGAAAAGATCAGATCTCGCCAGCTTTCGCGGCAAATATTAAGATGGCGCCCATACGATACAAAGCTGTTGTGTTGCACGTTGGTGGTTGCTAGCTGCTGCGACATGATGTTTTAGCAATACCGCTACTGGTTTTCGTTCATCTCACTCTTCCTAAATTAATCCTACTACAGTATCAATCTAGCTAGGAGTAACAGTTGTAGAGCAAGTTGGTTACCTTTGGGAGGCACCATGACGGTGGGCTTGGAGATGATGGCGGGAACGGTGGGCACGGCGGCGGAGACCGGCGGGAAGAAGCGCGCGGCCGGGACGCCCAGCCCCTGCGAGCCGTGGTGGTAGTGATGATAGTGGTAGTAGGGGTACACGGGCATCATGCCGTTGGGCGCGAGCATGCCTCCCTGCGCCGCCGCCGCCGGGTACGAGAAGTGCCCCTGCGGCTGCATGTAGGACCCGCCCGCGCCTGGCGCCGCTGCCGCCGCTTGGCCCAGCTTCTGCTGTCACGTCACAGAAGCAGCAAATGGACGCTCGTTAATTCTCGATCTACCATGAGTGACACTGCAGCAGCATAGGAGTAACATTTTGGTAGGTAACTTACCGCGTTGTAGCTCAGGTCAGTGACGTAGTTTGGGGAGTAGCTGAATGGACACACAAAGCAGACAAATCAGTGGTCAGTTTAATAATTTTTTTGAGATGCAGTCAGTTTAATATTGGTGCTGTAAAAACAGGACAAAGAAAGGCGGGCAGATCGGGTAATTAAGGCGAGGTTAATAATTTTCTTTTCCTTTTTGTAATCCTTTTTCCCTGCTGCCGTGCAGGCCGGCACGTGGGCACGTGAGGGCACGACGAGGCAGCTGGCTGGCCGAGGGGCGCGGTCCGGTCCAGGTCCAGCCTGTGCCCGTGCCTCCCTTGTCGCGTCGCGTGCTGCGACCCACTGCCGCGCATGTGCTCGCGCCACCAGGTCCCCGCGCCCCGCTGACGGCCGGGGACCACGTCGCCTCGCCGGCCGCCTGCATGCCAGCGCGACACGCGCCGGTCACGCTCAGCCGCCGCCGCCGCCGGACACGAATCCTCGTACCGCTACGTAGCAGAGAGCTCTCGCGAGGCGCAGGCAGTCCAAAAGCATTGCCGTCGCGAGGAGGAAGAAGAGTATACGTGATGCAGGAGGAGGTGCGGCTAGGGCGCGACGTGCGTACGTACCCGTAGTTGGCGGTGGCGGGGTAGAACGGGAGGACGCCGTGGTACTGCTGGTGAGCGCCGTGGCCGTAGTGCGCGGCCTGCGGCGGCGGCGGCGGCGTCGTGGAAGGGTGGTAGTACCACGGCACCGGCGACACGCCCCTGGACCCCACCGCGATGGCTGCCAGTTGATAAATTCCAGAGCCATGTGATCGCCCGTCAGTACGCACGTTGGCGGCAGTAACTAACAACTGGCTTAGCGCGCGCGGATTTGGATTTGCGTGCGTACCTGGCGCGGGCTGGTGGTGAGGGGACGGGAGCGCGGGCATGTGGTGCGGCGCCGGGGTGGTCGGCGGCGAGGGGCGGAGGAGGTGCGGCGGCTGGGGCCGCGGCTTGGCGCCGAGGGAGGCCAGGTTGCAGTTGGCGCGGCGGCCGTTGATGACCGGGGTGCCGTCCTCGCACGCCTTCTTGGCCGCGTCCGCCTCCTTGAACGTCACCTGTTGCATGCAGACGCGTCAGAAGCTAGCATACCACGGCCATGCATGGCAATGGAGGGAAGAAGCAGAGGGGACCGACGAAGCCGTAGCCCTTGGAGCGGCCGGTGAGCTTGTCGGAGATGATGACGGCCTCGAGGATGTCGCCGAAGCGCTCGAAGTGCTCGCGGAGGGTGTCCTTGTGCGTCTCCCACGCCAGCCCGCCCACGAACACCTTGGTCAGCGTGGTGTCGCCGAACGCCGCCGCCGGCTGCGCCTGGGCCTGCCCCAGCATCGTCATGGCCGGCCGCGCGCGCGCTCTGCCACCCAACTAACTAGCCTACGTGCCGACCTCGACGGCGCAACGAGAGCAGGGCGCGCGGATGGAGCTGAATGGCGATGCACGACGGGGTGGCGACTGG